AGCAGATTTGCATCACAGGAGAGGAGCCTTGCAATGAGGAGACTTCAAGCTTGTGTAGGGTGTTGGCACATGTGCCATCCTCCCCTGCAGAGCAAGAAAGATTACTCATTAAGCACATCTCTCCCAGAGGAGAGGGAGAAGGTATCTTTAGGTTTCTTACCCTAGAATATAAGTAAATGTTTCCAGGGAGGGGAAGGAGAGGGCTTAATTTCTCCAAAGCTCTTTGGAGTTTTCTTTCTTTAGGGAGATGCTATCTCTGGCTTCCAAGACTGTCTGTTATGCAAATACCCATTTGTAGTACATTTTGGTCAGAAGATTCTGTGCAGGAGAATGAGAAATGCAGAGTGAATTGTTTCCCAGCAGTAATTCTGAATTCCAGCAGCTGTATCTGTTTACATCTGAACTCAGATTTAGGGAGAAAATATTTTCAGACATTTCTCCATTTCTCTTCTCTTGGTTCTTTGATTGGGTTGCTTGATTATCTAGTAGGTACTTATCATCATCTTTCAGTTTAGCAACCTTGGCTGAAAGATAACTTTCCTTCCTGATTAGCTTCTGCAGAAATGTTGGGATTCAGTATTATCTGTCCAATTTGGGTAACATACCTATTCCTGAACTACTGCTTGCGAGAAGGAGTATGCTGATTTCCCAGACCTGGGTTATGTTCCTACCCCAGAAACATTAGAGTGCTGGTGATCAGTGCCACCCAAACCACATGGATTGATGATAAGAGAAGGAAAGTTTGGGAAAAGAAAATTAAGATGCTGCTACCAACAGAAGGGGAGATAGATGCTTCAGAGTAAAAAAACAACATAGGTCTATTACTGACATGCACATGCAACTCACAGTCATTTTTAAAAATAGAATCTTATTGTATATAGGTGTAACTACTTCATCTGTTTTTCACCTACCACATATCATGAACAAGAAATTTTCTTTGAAAACAATTTTATTTTATTTTTAAATTTTATTTTATTATTTATTTATTTATTTTTGAGATGAAGTTTCATTCTTGTTGCCCAGGCTGGAGTGCAGTGGTGCCATCTTGGCTCATTGCAACCTCCACCTCCCAGGTTCAAGTGATTCTTCTGCCTCAGCCTCCCAAGTAGCTGGGATTACAGGCATGTGCCAGCACGCCTGGCTTATTTTGTATTTTTAGTAGACATGGGGTTTCTCCATGTTGGTCGGGTTGGTCTTGAACTCCCAACCTCAGGTGATCCACCCGCCTTGACCTCCCAAAGTGCTGGGATTACAGGCATGAGCCACTGTACCCGGTTGTGAAAACATAATTTTGAGTGGTTGTAAAATTATACTTAAATTCATTGTTTAAAATAGATACTTAGTTTATCAGAATTTGATTTTGAAAAATTAAGGGGATATTTATTAGAGAAGTGGGGAGAGTAGAGATGGGAAAGAGTAGAGCCAGGACCAGGGTAAGGCAAGAGAGTTGCCTAGGACACAAAATATGAGACATAATCACTTTTAGGGTCATGCAACTGCAGGGTGGCACTTGCATGATCCTGAGAGTATCTTCTTAAATTTTGCACCCCAGGTATTTCTCTTGCATCACCCTAGTCCCATTTGTGAAGAGAAGCGTATTTCAGGGAATAGGAACTACGTTTTGGCTGTGTATGTGAGTTAGAGATGAAAGTATGTGTAATTGAGGAAGTTGGTGGGGAAGATTAAGGTGCATTAGAAAGCAGTCGTGTGTTTTCAACTGTTATGTATGGAAACCTTTGCTGAGTCTGGTAAGCATGATAATACCTTTGAAGTAACACAAGGAATATAATTTTTTTGATTCATAGGTTTATAGTGGTTTGAATTTTAAAAGTTCCATTTAGAGGCTGGGCATGGTGGCTCACGCCTGTAATCCCAGCACTTTGGGAGGCTGAGGCAGGTGGATCACGAGGTCAGGAGATTGAGACCATCCTAGCTAACACGGTGAAACCCCATCTCTACTACAAATACAAAAAATTAGCTGGGCGTGGTGGTGGGGCACCTGTAGTCCCAGCTACTCAGGAGGCTGAGGCAGGAGAATGGCATGAACTCGGGAGGTGGAGCTTGCAGTGAGCCGAGATGGTGCCACTGCACTCCAGCCTGGGCGACAGAGGAAGACCCTGTCTCAAAAAAAAAAAAAAAAAGTTCCATTTAGAGATGCCACCAAAAACAGTTGTTACTTTTAACCCAAATCTTTTCACTATCAAAGAAAAATGCTTTTTGTTTCATTGAAAAATAAAAATTATAGAAAAGACTGAGTTGGCGATTGAGACATAATACATGGGTCCTTTGACTAGCTTGCTTGCTTTTCTCTCTCTTTTTTTTTTTCTTGACAGGGCATTGCTGTCTTACCCAGGCTTGAATACAGTGGTGTGATCACAGCTTGTTGCAGCCTTGACCTCCTAAACTTAAGGGATCCTTCTGCCTCAACCTCCTAAGTAGCTAGGACTACAGTTGACTAGCTTTCCTGAGCAAGATGCTTGACACTGCTCAATATTGGGCCTGAAATCTCAGTTGAATAGTTGTCTTTCTTGAACTTAGGTCTGTGGAAACCATTTCCATAGCAAAGTGAGAGACCAGAACAGGGAATCCTAAATAATGCAACTATCTTTGCTGATAGAAAAGAGAGTTTAAAAATTTTTAATATTAATTGGATAATCCAGTAATTTTTGGCTTTGTCTTTGGAGTGTAATTGGATACATATAGAATGTGTTTTGTTCCTCAGAAAGCTGTGTGAGTAATACTGTTTACTGAACTATACCCTGGGGGTTTAATTAAAGATGATATATTGAAAGCTGCATAAAAGTGAAGTCATGACTGAATTTTTTCTTTTTTTTTGAGGCAGAGTCTCACTCTGTTATCTGGGCTGGAGTGCAGTGGCACAGTCATTGTTCACTGTAGCCTCCAATTCCTGGACTCAGGTGATCCTCCCACCTTAACCTCTCAAGTAGCAGGGACTACAGGCACATGCCACCACGCCTGGCTAATTTATGTTTTTTTTGTAGAGATGGGCTCTCACTATGTTGTCCAGGAGGGTTTGGAACTCCTGGACTCAAGCGATCCTCCTGCCTTGGCCTCCCAAAGTGCTGACATTACTGGCATGAGCCACCTCATCTGGCCATCATTAAAATTTTTATATTTAAAAATAATTTCGTCATGAATTTTATCGTTTTATATAACAACTCTTGTTGAAGCCTTACTTTACACCAAAGTGTACAAATCAGAGGAAACCATAACTCATTTTGGAATTTCACTCATTTGGTAGTCACTTGTTTGCTGGCTACTGTGTTCCAAGTACTGTGCAAGTGGCTATGTTAAGATAGAAATCCCTGTCTCAATCATATCACAGTTTTATGGAAGACGAGAAATGTATTAACACTTTAATTACATGTAGTTAGGTTTCCAACCAATTCTAGCTTTAGGAGCTTTGCTATATCTAGAAGGGAATAACATGCTTTCCTAGGGGTGAAGGCACCCTTTGGAAATGGTTAAAAGATTAGAAAAGTAGACTTGGAGAATATGTCTGACATACTGTGTTTGGTCTGTTTCCTGAGCAGAAGGAAAGAAATAATCTTGTTGGTAACATTTATGGAATGTCATCTGATTCATGTGAAAGTCAAGGCAATAGGGGAAATGATAGGAAACAGAGTAGGCAAACAAAAAAGAAGAGTTGGAAGAAGGAGGGAGCTTATGATAAACCAGGAAGTTGAGATTAAAAATAGTATGGCACAGGCAAAAAGCGAGATACTGTAACAGGGCTATAAACTGTATATATTGACATCAGTGATAAAGGAGAGAGCTAGTGACCAAAAAGCCTCTTAGAAGAGTTTACAGTTTTCAAGGACAGAAGGGAGAACAGCCAATTCAAGGATCATACTTTGGCATACTAAAACATATGAGGCAGAGGCCAGGCGCAGTGGCCCATGCCTATAATCCCAGCATTTTGGGAGGCCGAGGCGGGTGGATCACCTGAGGTCAGGAGTTCGAGACCAGCCTGACCAACATGGTGAAACCCTGTCTGTACTAAAAATGCAAAAATCAGCTGGGCGTGGTGGCACATGCCTGTAATCCCAGATACTCAGGAGGCTGAGGCACGAGAATCACTTGAACCCAGGAGGTGGAGGCTGAGTGAGTTGAGATCATGCCATAGCACTCCAGCCTGGGCGACAGGGTGAGACTTCATCTCAAACAAACAAACAAACAAGCAAATAAATAAATAAATATGAGGCATATTTATGAGGCAGAGAAATATGAGGCAGAGAAAGTATGTGTTTGCTGGGGGAATCCTTCCCAGACCTTCCCTAGCCTTTGAAAAAGTTTTTCTTGTGTACTTAATTACTATGTTAGGCTGTAGTAATATTTTAACAAGCATAATCACTGGCTGCTTCTGATGCCTTTCAAACTTTTTCGGTTTTTGAGACAAAGTCTTGCTCTGTCACCCAAGCTGAAGTGCAGTGGCCTGATCATGGCTCACTGCAGCCTCATCTCCTGGGCTCAAGCAATCTTCCCACCTCATCTTCCCAAATAGCGGAGATTACAGGTGTGTGCCACCATGCCTGACTAATTTTTTAACTTTTTTAGAGACTAGGTTTCATTATGTTGCCCAGGCTGGCCTCGAACTCCTGGACTCAGGTCATCCTCCTGCTTTGACCTTCCACAGTGTTGGAATTACAGGTGTGAGCCACTGTGCCTGGTGTGTTTCAAATTTGAAGTTAGTTTTATGATGTAAAAATGGAGAAAAACATGACTTACCTCTTGAAAACTGAGGGAATAGGTTGGAGGAGAAGGTAAAAATACATTACTCCTTCGGAAAGTTAGAGAAAGTTAGAGGAAGTAAACAGTGGAAGATAAGTCAGGTAAGTGTAGCATTCTTATTTTTAACATAGCAATTGTCATAAGCTGTCGCAGTTAATTTCCAGGAACAGCCAAGTATACTGAAAGTGTGCATTTTTATCTCATTCTCCGTAGTGAACAGTTCTGACTCCTTGAATTTCTTCTTGCAGCTCATGGTTTTTGGCTAGACCTGTGATCATTTTCGCTGGACTTCACTGCATGCTTTCTCAGTATCTCCTTCGTCCCTAATGTGTGACACCTCATCATGGACATGCTACTTTAGCTAAGGCATGGCCAGCAATGAACAGCAGTAAGGTAGGATTACTTTATTCTTCTTGGTAAGACACTAAAACAGTTTTTATTTTGGGTCTCTGAAATTGCGACTTGTCTTGATTTTGTAGTATTCTTTATGTTAGATTATTCTCCTGTCTATGTGGGCTATTATCGTTTTATATTCATGTTTATTTATCTTTTGCTTGTCATCTATCCCAATTATTTGATCTCATTTGTGACATAATTATTTTTCTCAACTAACACTTATAATTAGCAGAATCCCAATCTGTATCTCTTCCTCAACCTGTGCGCCCACGAGTCCTATTTTTTTAACCACTTGACACCAAACTGAGCATATCACATTTTTCTTCTCAAATACTTGCACTTTGTTCTACATTTCTGTATTTCCATTAATAGCATTATTAATCTCATTGTCTAATATAATCATATATTCGTTGACTATTTCATTAATTCATTTGAGAGGTACATTGATATTCTAAGTATCATATGGTGTGCTGCTTCTGAGCATATAATGATGACTATGCTGGATGTTCCATCCTTATTTCCATCTTTATATTCTGAGGGAGGGGACAGGTTAAAAATAAATTGGCAAAACAATTATAATACAGTTTTTTTTTTTTTTGAGACAGAGTCTGGCTCTGTCACCCAGGCTGGAGTGCAGTGGCACCATCTCAGCTCACTGCAACCTCCGCCTCCTGGGTTCAAGTGATTCTCCTGCCTCAGCCTCCCAGTAGCTGGGATTACAGGTGCTCACCACCATGCCTGGCTAATTTTTGTTTTTTTTTAGTAGAGACGGGGTTTCGCCATGTTGGCCAGGCTGTTCTCAAACTCCCGACCTCAGATGATCTTCCCGCCTTGGCCTCAGATGATCTTCCTGCCTCGGCCTCCTAAAGTGCTGGGATTACAGGTGTGAGCCACTGTGCCTGGCCTTATAATACAATTTTTTAAGGAAAGCAGAAAAACAGATAATATGGAGATGAGGAGGTGGAATCTACTTTAGATAGGGTCATATAAGACTCCTCTGAGGGGCTGATATTTAAGATGAGACCTATTCTATGAGAAGGAGCTATTTAAAGAGTGAGTATTATGTGTGTGTTAGGGCAGGAGAAGGGAGTTGTTTTTGATTGGAAGAGCATTCTCATTAGAAGGAATACTGTGTGCAGAGACCTTGAATGAGGAAAGAGCTTGGTGAATTTGAGGAACCAAAGAATACCAGTGCGGTTGACATAGTGAAAGAGGCAGATTTGAGTAGGAAGAGATTATAGAACTATTTAGGGCTTCGAAGGGTTTGGCCTGGGGTTTGCATCTTATATCATTTTAAGTACTGTGTGAGACAGGGACTGGTTGAAATGAAAGTGAAAGCTAGCTTTAAGGAGCTGAGGTGAGATAGTGGTGGCCTGTATGATGGGGTTGTAGCAATAAGGGAGAGATGGATGAATTTGAGATGCATTTTCATTTATTTTTTTTTTTTTTGAGACAGAACTCATAGGACTTCTATATTGTTTGGGCGTGGAAAGAGGGAGACCATACTCAAGGATGACATCAAGAATTTTGGTTTTTGAGCAGCTGATTAGAAACTGGTATCATGTACAGAAACCTTTTAGAAAACTATCTTTCCTGTTAACTGATACATTGCTTATTTTACCAAAAGGCAATTAACTGTAATGCTAGAAATAACATCAGTGCTGGAAATAAAGCATCTAGCAAATTTGTGATATATACTAGTTAATACTTTATTTTGCTTTTTTTCCACTAATAATTATTATTAGTATTATTATTATTTTTTGAGATGGGGTTTCGCTCTTGTTGCCCAGGTTGGAGTGCAATGGCACAATCTTGGCTCACGGCAACCTCTGCCTCCCTGAGTTCAAGTGATTCTCTTGCCTCAGTCTCCCGAGTAGCTGGGATTACAGGCATGTGCCACCACGCCCGGCTGATTTTGTATTTTTAGTAGAGACGGGGTTTCTCCATGTTGGTCAGGCTGGTCTCGAACTCCCGGCCTCAGGTGATCCTCCCGCTTTGGCCTTTCAAAGTGCTGGGATTACAGGCGTGAGCCACTGCGCCTGGCCTTGTATGATTTTTAATTAATTGTGAGTTGAATTTTATCTGACTTCAGAGTCTTTCTGGAAGTGACAATAATTGGTCTATACTTTTATACTGAGTTTTAAGTCTGCTCTCCCTTGCATTCTTTTAAAACAGATGATTCTTTTAAGGCTTTTGGCCAGTCTGAAATCTTCCCAGACTGTTAATTCAAAGGTCTAATATGTAATTTTATTGTTATTTTATTTTGAAGATTTCCTTTTTTCTTTCTTTGCGGGACAGAGTCTCGCTGTACTGCCCAGACTGGAGTGCAGTTGCACAATCACAACTCATTGCAGCCTGGAAACGGAGACAGAGTTTTGTTATGTTGCCCAGGCTGGTCTCCTGAGCACAAGCCATCCTCCCACTTCAGCCTCCCAAAGTGTTGGGATTACAGCTGTGAGCTACAGTGCCTGGCCTATTTGGAGATTTTCAAGCATCCCACCCTTAGATGTATGTCATACTAACCTCACTTGAAAGCATCTAGCTTGTCTAAATTCCTAGGAGGTTCATTTATTATCTTTTTGGTTTTACAGCTTCATCAGAGGATATTTATATTCAACTTCTTAGGATTGATATTTTAGGTGCAAAGTAAAATGGAATAAACCTTAAAATAAATCTATGTATTATTTGTTTCTTCTAAATTCGTCAGTAGTCCTATCTTTCATCTTTTTCTCTGAAAAAAATTTTTTTTATTTTTTTTGAGATGGAGTCTCACTCTGTCACCTAGGCTGGAATGCAGTGGCATGATCTCAGCTCACTGCAACCTCTGCCTCCCGGGTTCAAGCAATTCTCTGCCTCAGCCTCCTGAGTAGCTGGGATTACAGGCACCCACCACCATGCCCGGCTAATTTTTGTGTTTTTAGTAGAGACAGAGTTTCACCATGTTGGCCATGCTGGTCTTGAACTCCTGACCTTGTGATCCACCTGCCTCGGTCTCCCAAAGTGCTGGGATTACAGGCTTGAGCCACCGTGCTCGGCTCCTCTGAAGAATTTTTAAGATGTTTTCTCAAAAAAGAGTTAGTAGTTGTCTGTGCTCTCTATAAAAGGCATTTGGTTATCTGTTTTAACTATTTTATTTTTATCCGTACAACAGTTCTATTTTTTCTACTTTGCATACGGTTATCTTTTGAGTTTTAGAGCTGAGAGGTAGTAGTAGAATTTTAGTAGTAGTAGGATTTTATAACTGAAAAATGCCTTGGAGATTTTTCTATTTCATTCTCCTTTAGCTGGGACCTAGAGAGGTTCTGTGACCTGCCCAAGATCATGTAGCTGGCTGTCATGATTCTTGAGGCTAGTGCTGATTTCACTCATCATGCTTCAAACTGGCCTCCTCTCATGCTTTCTGTATTTCTCTCATTTCAACATTTATTGAAAATGTTCAGTGCCACATCAAAATTGAGTATATAGGACAATGAACACCTCTGTTACCTTTTACCTGGACTTACCGTTAACATTTTGCCACGTTTTCTTTCTTTACGTGTTTATATATTTAAAAAATCATTTAAAACAATATTAAAGACATCATGATAATTTAAAGCTTTTAGCGTGCAGATCCTAAGGACATGGATAATTTCCTACATAATCAGAGTACTAGTATCATATATAAGAAAATAACCATAACATTAAGAATATATTTGTCTTTTTGTTCATTTTAGCTGCTATGACAAGATACCTGAGACTGGGTAATTTATAAACAACAGAAATTTATTTCCCATAGTTATGGAGTCTAGGAAGTCCAACATCAAGACACCAGCAGGTTTAGTGTCTGGAGAAGGCCTGTTCTTCATAGATGGTGCCTTTTTGATGGCCTCATATGACAGGAGGGATGGAACTGCGAAGGGGAAATGCAGCTCTCTGCAACCTCTTTTATAGGGCGTCATTCTATCTATGAGTGCAGATCATTCATGGCCTAGTCATCTCCTGAGGACCCCTACTCTTAATACTGTCACCTTAGGGGGTTAAGTTGAATTTTGGAGGGACACATATATTCAAGTCATAGTAGTGTTTAATGCAGTGGTTCATATTAAAATCTCCCCTGTTATGCCTAATATATATATTAGGCATTAACCTTGTAGTATAGTTTGAAGTCAGGTAGCGTGATGCCTCCAGCTTTGTTCTTTCAGCTTAGGATTGTCTTGGCAATGTGGGCTTTTCTTTGGTTCTATATGAACTTATATATATATTTATATTTGCTGTTGTTGTTGTTGCTGTAGGATTCAAGCAGTTTTCATGGATTGCATTTGCTTCTTATGCCTCTTTATTCTTTTTTATTTTCAAACAGCTGCTTGCTTTTTCTTTCATGATCTGTATTTTCTTTTAAGAGAGAAAATTTGTATGTACTTAACATCTCTTCTGAGAATTGCCTGGTTTCTTAGAATACTGTTCATCCAAAATTTATTTGCAGTTTGCCTCTTTGTTTAAATTCTGAGATAGCTGGAGGCAACATTGTCATTTCCAAGCTTTTTTTTCCCCAAAACATAACTTCAACTTTAAATATACGTGATATCAGCTGCGGTTTTTACATTTGGTTGCATTAAGTTAAAGATAAGAAAACTGGGAGATGTATGTTGGACTTGATCTGCTGGCACTAGTCAGCAATTGAAATTCAAGGAGTTCCTCCTCCATCCTCCATTGCCTATACTCACCTTCTAACCAGGAATTCTATCTAGGAATATGTATCTATTAATAGTAGTTTTGGACATTATAAAGCAGTAGCAGTCTAGTCTTTCAAAAATGCATTCTTTCAAATCAGAAGTAGATTAAAATGCAAACAATGTGTAAGCAAGTACACAGAGACACTCAGAGCTAAGCACAATAAGAAAAGATTTAATTAAATACCTTCGCTCTGGTACTTGTGTAGAACTGTCACTCAGCGAGTGTTGTCTTTTACCTTTTTTTTTTTTTTTTTTTTTTTCAATTTTTGGTAAATTTTTTTTTGA